GCCTGTAGTCCCAGCTACTCAGGAGGCTGAGGCAAGAGAATCACCTAAGCCCAGGAGTTGGAGGTTGCTGTGAGCTGTGATGCCATGGCACTCTACCAAGGGTGACAAAGTAAGACTCTTGTCTCTTAAAAAAAAAAACTTTGTTAGAGAACTTCACCATGTTAATAGTCTGTAGTATTGCTGTCAGCAACTACTAATGACATTGCATTTTCAAATTCACTTATAAGATAATCCTGCAGAGAATTTACTTCTGTTACTCTGGATCACTGTAACGGAAGTAAACAGATCATTTTATAAATTAAGCATTTTTAAGGAAAAGAGATATTTTATTTGGCGTCAGCTCCACATTGTTTGGTCAATGTTTTCTGACCAAAAACATTCATCAGACTAATAGGCTTTTGTTTTATATTGCTTAGAATATCAGAGTTGCGATGGCTTTTACTTTTTTCTTTTGTTTTTATCAATTTAATGCATGTGCATAACTGCAAAACTCAAGTAACGTAAGGCATGTGACCAGAAGGAAAGCAGTCACTAGCGCAGCCTCCCACTTCCCTTTTCATGCTCCCAACAGGCAACCATTTTCAGTCCTGGTGGCCCTTTCCTTGACTCCTCCTGCCATGTCATCTTTTCCTTTTCAGTGCAGACAGTAACTGTTAACTTCCTGCTGTGGAAGATGAGGATTTAGCTCTCTTACACCAACACTGCCACATAATTCTTTCCTCCAATCCTCCCCATTCTAATATAGCATAATTTTTAGTGAAGGCTCTCTTCAGTGTATACATTAAATGACTAAAAAGAGTATCTTTTTGCAAATTAGCACCTGATATGCTATGATCACATTTTTTTAATTTACAACTTAGTGCTCCCCATGGAGTTATTTTCTGTCTTCTTGTTTTTCTTAGTTGTCTATATCCTTATTACTGACTTATTCTTACATCAGAGCTACAAAAATCTTCCCCACTATGTTGAAACACACACACCCCCTACCAGCTCTTCTTACTTCTACTCCATTCTGAAGTGGTTATTTTCAATAGGTACTGCACAGCTCTTAATTCTAGAAATTCTTCTTACCTCTTTTCTGTGTTAAAAGCACTATTTCCTGGATTCATGACATATTTCTAGGCTTACTCCCTAGTTCTAAAGGCACACAACTCTCAGAGGCTTCTTGAGAAAGGGAACATTTAGCTTTTTGATGTTTCATTGTAAGGTTGGCTGAATGTAGAATTCTAGGTTGAAAATAACACCTTCACAGTTTTTAAGACTTCCTTTTACCTTCTTGCACCTAATATAGTTCCTGCTAAGCTCACTGCCATTTTTTAGTCTCAGTCCTTCATTATGTGACCTGTTTTGAAGACATTTTATATTTTATTTTATTTTTTTGTAAAGAGAGTGTCGCTTTGTTGCCCTCCGTAGAGTGCGGTAGCATCACAGCTCA